TAAATTACTTTACAGTAAACATGGCCAGAATCGTCCACTTTGGGGGTGGTTTTTCAGCGTTTTATGGATAGGAAAAATCCCAAATTGTTTATAAATCATGGGGGAGGGGGGAGTGATAGTCTTTACATAAGTAATTCCTTGAAAAACATTGTTTTCAATCATTTTTTCCATTTTTTTAAATTACTTTACAGTAAACATGGCCAGAATCGTCTGATTTGGGGGTGTTTTTCCAAAGTTTTATGCATAGGAAGAATCCTAAATTATTCATTGAAGATGGGGGAAATTGCCGGCTTAGTGTATATTAACAAATTTATTGATAAATCTATTGTCCATATTTCTCTTTTTATCGATAATAATCTCGTATTTTACGTCGATCTTCTCCCTGTGAGAGAAGTCCCTGTAATATATCACGAAGTTTGGCTTTTTCGAATGATTCTTCATTTAAAAATGAAAATGAAGTATATGAATGTGAAAATTCTAAATTATCATTATCTTTATTATCATTAGAATCATTCTTGAATTCCTTCACGTCAGATTTTTTTTATTTATTCTACACTTTATTAAATAAGCCGCATTTTGCCAGCGCAGAATTTTTCCCAAATTTCCGTCAGATTGAGATTTCTTGAATTTTTATTACAATGAGAAAAACGATAATGAATTCATTGGGATAACTCGGTGACTCATTCTCAATTATAAGAAAATGATATTAATCGTTTTTTAAAGACAAATCATGAAGTTATAGTTCTACGAATGCTCCACTATTTTACCACTTCCAATTTTCCTCAAGTACAAACTTTTTCTTGTCATTAGTATAGATTGAGATGCCTTTTTTTCAATAAAAAAATCATTCAGCGTCTCATGAAATATAAAAAAAAAACAGAGCCTTGAGAGAACGTCTTCTTAGGTTTCAACGAATGAATTTTCCTACTTACCGTTTCCCTAATGAAGAGGTAAACTTAACCAGGTTGTTTCCCACGTTTTGTTTAATAACAAATTCTGTTAGTGATCCATGATTCTCGGGTCAAAAATCGACATTTGTTGTTGGACATTTCATTAGATACAAAAAAGGTCTTGCAATATTTTCTTAACAATATTGTTTTCGGAAATGCAAAATCGCATCAATTTTTCAATTAACTTCTTTTACTTCACTGCTTTGCTACCCAGATAATCTGTAATGAGTTAGGAAGGTTTCATCAACTATACGTGTATTGGTCGAAATGAGATTCTGTGTATTTTTTAGATTTTTTATTTCATGGTATGATTATGATACATCGAATCTTACATTTTCATCCCCAAGATGGACCAGGCATGTCATAGGAATCATCATCATTATCATCATCATAAATATCATCGGGCGGTACATTCAAGTCATCTCTCACTCCATAATCATTATCTATTCCATAATCTACTATACCGATTTCCTCAAATTCAGCATAAGATGGGACATCTACAATCCTATTAGTACATGAAGTCTCTGCACAATTTTTACATAAATGTGAGCAAAGTAAGCCACCTTTAATACAACCACATGTTCTAGGGCTACACTGTTTTTTACATTGACATGTGATCAACCCCAATAAATTGTCTGGCATTGGTGGTAATGTTGTGACTATTGTAATTAAAATTCGATCGGTTGTCAACTCCCAACCCCATGATTCTACTGGTAATTTATTATTCAACCAACATTGGACTTGCCAATAAACTCTCAAAGTGTGAAATTTCGCTGCAGCTGACGTCGGTGGTAATGTCGCCAAATTAAAGTCACTTTTTCGTTTTGCTTTCAGACTCTGAATGTATTTGCTACATCTTACTTCATTCAAACTTCCCCCAGTTCCTTTATACATCTTTATTATTAATTGTTCTCCCGAGTTTACAAGAACCGACAGATTTTCAATTGATACTGGTTCAAGAAAAACCCTCAATAAATCAGTAACTGAATTTTTTTCTTTTATAAATGTCTTTACCACAGTTTTTTTGGAAATTTTGAACATGCTTGATGTAGTTTTGCAACCTGATAATGCATGAATAACAGAAAAATATGGGGCTATTTCTTGAAATTGCTCATATAAAGTATGGGATGAATACCAGGCTTTATTCGGTACATGAAAATAGATATTTTTCTGTGGACAACTTTGTGATATAAGGACACATAAAATGTCAACGTTTTTACTGATAATAACAACGTCCCTAGTTTCTTGCCATTTTTCTAATGCTTCGTCAACAATCACTCTCTCTTCATCTTTATCGGGAATTGTTTTCACATTCATACCATATTGTTTCAACGTTTCTATCAATTGGGCAATAAATCTAGCTTTATTATTATTATTTGTGAATAAAATCTCTTGATTCTTGGTGATTGATTTTGTAGGATCGAAATAAATTTCAGAACAAATCTTTGAACCAGCTGTAAAAATGTGCTCTGCTTGTTTTGGATGTTCGGCAGTATTTCTCCCCGGTTCAAATACTACAATACATTATGTGCCGTAATTTAGAACTATGAACTGGACGTATGTTTCGTATATTTCTTTATATGTACATGACTTAGGCCAACAGATTAACGATAAGAGTGTGTCACCGTCAATTACAAAGAACTTATTGCCGTCTTCAGGTTCATCGCAATATTTAAATATTGGCCACAGATCTTCGGCTGAATGTCTCATTTTAGTCATACTCTCAAAAGTCGATAACGGATATGGGCTTAATTCGTATTCGAAACTTTTTGGATAATCAGCTTCATTACGCTGAGACCTACGAAACCTATCAAATAGAATTTTAGCGTCTACCGGATATTGGACATCCTTAATTTTTACCGAACCGTTTGATATTGATAAAGATAGTACTTGGCATTCTGAAGGAAATTTCACGTCGGAAAAAGTTTGAGATTTTTGAATAATTGATTCATATGATTTGATACCCAAATATTCAGCTTGATAACAATTCACCGTCGGTCCCCCGCTAATACCCGTAGCAATCGATATAATAGAATCACGATGAATGAAAGGATTATGTTCTCTATACCACTCAACCAAAACGTCCAAATCTTTCTTATCCCGTTCAATCGTACTGTCTCTGAAATCTTTATGCTGTTCGCTGAACGCTGTCTCTATTTTACAAAATTCCTCCAAATCATCATTTATGTAAGCGGCACAACTCATCGTATTCAACCAAGAAGTCGCCACACTGTCCGTTAAACCTCTTCCTCGAGATAAACCACCTATACTATCTATCGAACGCATCAAGGTTTGCTCAATAATCATATCACTACACACACCCGAGAAAAATTTGTCGCTCCTCCTAATGGTAAAGAATCCCCTTTTTGTGTATTTTTCATATTCTTCTCGAGAACCCATTTTGTCCTCCAACCCCAACATATCTTGTACATACAGATGACAAGATTTTGAGTAATTAATATGTCTAGAGCTGTGGAAAAATGGCAGCATGTCGAGAATCGTCGATAAATGGAGATCGAAGGCACCAGTTCGTTCAGCCTGAATGAAACTTCTGAGTAAAGAAACCATTTTAATATATTGAATCCACAAAGCTGCAGTCTTTCCTCGTTCAGCGATCAAATTCATTTGATCAGTGAGTTTCTCCTTCAGAATCGCAACGATTGGAAATGTTTGGACCTGTTCGAAAACTGTTTTTTCACTATCATTGTTCTTGAATTCATTGGGTAACGGTTCCACACTGATGGCGGCTGATAGATCACGTTTCTCCCGATCAGTAAGAGTACATTCATCCAAAATGATGATGAATAAAGCGGCTTGAGTGTAAAAATGGGCACGTAAGCTGCGAGCATAATTTTTACCACTCATCATTTTTTCTGTAGATTTCTCTGCATAAATGGTTGTCCAAGACTCCTGTAGTCCACTTCCATCCATCACTTTTCCAATACAACCCAAAAACGACATGAGCAGATGAAACCCTCCGAGTCGAATAAACACATTACTCATATCCCTTTCACACGGTACCAAATTATGTTCAATATCAGCCTTTATCTCTCGACATTTTATATAAAGCTGTTGATCAAACGAGAAAAAATGATTCTTTTGTCCTATTTTCTCAGCTTCTTTAATCCCAAACATCAGTGCCGAGTACAAGGCGGTATTATCTGTAGCTTTTAGGAAAATGAACGGCAGATACTTAATTTTTGAGATATCATACATGGAAGAGTTTGAACGTAACTCCATGAAACCATTCCAATCCACATGTTGTGGCACTTTCAACCAATGACCAGATGCCCAGAGGAGTTCACCAGGTAATAAAAAAGTGTTGGCCGGGGGAGTGGACGTCATTTTCTAATATCTTTTATCTCTGTCAATGTTAATCCTCTATGGTGTGGCGGGTTATAATTACAAGTTTGGATTCGTTTCTTCGCTGCGATGGCTGATGCGGATGGTGGTGAATTTAAGCGTTTTATAGCCAAGCTCAGTTCTATAGAAGATGCTGGCGTTATACACTCAACGCCACCAGTATAATGGAAAGTATTCTTACCATCGATAGTCCGGGTATCGTAATCAGCATTGTGAAATATGAATTGCATCAAACTATCTTCGGAAGGTTGAACTTGTGGCTCCGGTGCCATAACTGCCGATCCCTCATATAGTTTAGTTTCTTCGTAAGAAGCACTCAATCCCAGACGATGAAGAATATTTATCAACAATTTTGATTGATGTTTTGAATGGATGTATAGTGACAGTGCGAGTTGAAGTGGTGATATGAATGATGGGGGTCTAGTAGCTGAAATGATGGCATGAGCGATAGCGATGATTTTTCGCATGGAATTATCAATATCCTTCTTCTTCTCCAAAAGAATTTCTTTTAAGAGAAACATGAGACTGTCGGGTATTACCCCTTTAATATTCTCATGAGAAAAAAAATCGGTGACAGCTGGATAATATTCCATTTCAGTGTCGCACGCACGTATATCTTCCCTAATATACTGAGCGGCCAACTTCAGAACATCTTGCTTCCGTTCTTCATCGTTTTCAACAGGAAGACTACTTTTGAAGAAATCCATCAAAAGACGATCTCCATATCCTTACAAGGTCACGATCGTTTTTTCNTTTAATATTCTCATGAGAAAAAAAATCGGTGACAGCTGGATAATATTCCATTTCAGTGTCGCACGCACGTATATCTTCCCTAATATACTGAGCGGCCAACTTCAGAACATCTTGCTTCCGTTCTTCATCGTTTTCAACAGGAAGACTACTTTTGAAGAAATCCATCAAAAGACGATCTCCATATCCTTTCAAGGTCACGATCGTTTTTTCCCTCCCCCGAGAACTGAAAATGATGTTGTCACCATATTTGTTTTCTAATACCTGTCGGATGTACTTTTTGCTTGGTGACGGCTCACCCAAAATGTCCAAAATTTTGTCCAGAGACCATTGACAATCTTCGGAATCTTCGAATGTTGCAAATAGACGGTCAAATTGAGCAATGTAGCGACTATTCCTGGGATTGATATTGTCTTTTTCTTTATTCTCTCGTGTACTTAGGAAGGTGTTGAGGCAATCCTGGTGATACTTTGCTCCAACAGAATTTAAATCAGGAACAGGTTCCAGACGTTCTTGAACCTTCAACGAGAGTTCATCGTCGAGCGACTCCGAAGCCTTCAGCAGACGTTCCCTCCATTTTGAGTTAGCCGTGATAGAATAGATAACACGTCTTCGATTTTTTGGTTTCTTCGATTCAATTATCTTGTCGCAAATGGTACCACAAATGATGCATGAGGTTGAAAAATCAAACTGGGGGGACGCCGGAGTTGGAGAATTTAATGTCGAGGCATCAGATAATTTTCTCTTTTTGGCTGCCGTTACACTTTTATTCGAGATATAACTGAGCCGACACGATTCATGCACTACGATCTGTTCACAATCTTCCCAATTTAACCACTTATTGTCACCTCGCTCTTTACTAGAGTTTATGAAATTGTTCAATCCTACTTTTTTTATAATAGTCTCCTTCTCTATTCCGCCAAACTCACAGCTACACACAGCACAAACGGGGACCAATTCAGCCATTGTAGATATGTACTGGTCTATAAATCAATCTGCGCTTCTAAACTCCACAGACAATTAATAATGGCTTGTTCGACGATTGTCAACACTGATCCGGAAACTCACAACAACACAGAAACTGGTGAAGAAAGAGCGTGGTGGCATCTTTGAGTAACATTTACGTAGTATTCCTGACCTGAAAGAAAATCAATATTTTTTTTTTCACGGATTTGAAATTCTTTCTGTAAGCCTATGTGGACGTCCGCATGAAAAGAGCCCACTTTGTCGTATTTAGTTTCCGAGATATTCGAGTCTTTCTGTCGACAACTCCTTTCTTTGATCTTCCATAGAAACATCATTTTGCATGCTATTGAGGTCATCGAGGGCTCAAATTGTGTGGGACCATGCCCAGATAACTTCAGTATACATAATCCCGATAGGGCCCTCTTCATGGGGACGTTCACATATAGTGACAAACAACGTTGTAGTATTGCAAACTCTCCGAGTATAAGAGGGGACATCGGTGAGTTTGGGAACCTTCGGTGGATGTAGGGCTCCATTGAACGACTTCTGTCATAAAATATTTCATATGAAAAAGTTGGAAAATGATGAACACAGAGAACGGTTTTTTTCTTGTTTTTAGGTTCAAAATCGTCCTCGGATCACAGTTTTTATGCGATTCACGGTTTTCTTCTCTCAAAATAATAAAATTTAAGGATCATCGGTCGTGTTCAAGGGGGAGACAGCTGAGTCAGTTCATTCGTAGGTGGATAGACTCAGGGGCCTCGTGAATCGACGCAGGGCGCTATCATTCTTCAAGTGGAACGACTATCTGGCAGAGATAGACTCGTCAGAATCTTATCTGCATGTCTCAAACGAAAACGAAAAGATTCCATCGAAAGTGCGTCTGCCCTCTATCATGTACGACAGCGTACTATCGCTTCTATCATGTACGACAGCAACACAATGCCCTCGTGATGCATCTTGAACTTGATAACTCTCTCTCAGTCAACTCTAATAGTATCCCAGAACCCAGGCTCTTGTTCAAACTGACCAACCGGGAAGTCTTTAAAACTTTCCTGGAGAAAAACTATGATGCTAACGTGCCCAATGATAAAAACCTGCATGAGGTAGAAATTGACAACTACATTCAATATATCAATGAGAATATAATATGTGCAATCAACAATATACCAAAATCTAAATCTACCGGCAACATCCAGCGTGATATTACTAAAAGGATAACTCAACTAGAAAAGCGCAAATCCTCATTACTCACCAGGCTTAATCGCAGACTAAAACATGACCCCAGAGCCAAAACGAGAGAAACAAAATCTATCAAACTTCTCCTCGCGCAGACAAGAGAAGACCTTAATCTCGAGTTTAGCTCGTCAATAGACACGCACTGGAATAATGACTTCAGAAAGATTAACTTCAGGGATTCGGAAAGATTCATGCCAATGGTGAACAGGATCTTTCGTCCAAAGGCAAAATCAGATCTGGCTGACATCCACATCTCTGCCAACAACGAGACCATTCTCAATAACTCTGGTAACAACCTTGATGAAACTCCTCTTGTCAACGATAAATATACCTTCAGTGACCCGATTAGCAAACTAAATGCCATAGGAGCCTTCTACGAGACCATCAACTCCCCCAGGTACCTCAACGAAGGAACACGACTGAGGGAGGTTATAGACAGGAAAGTTTCTGACTTCGAAAACACTACTGAACGAGAAAGATGTAACAAAGAAGCAATCACGAACTTCACTTCAACCAACAGAGCCAACCACTCCACTGAGGACTCTCTGGATAAATATTTCACGTTGCCTGAGAAAATCGCACTGATCATCAAGAATCTGCCGAACAAAACCTCCAGCGGAATTGATAACATCCCAACAGTTGTTATCAAACACCTGCCACTGAATGTTATAAAATACTTCACAGCGCTAGTGAATAATGCACTCAACCTCAGCTACTTCCCCAAAATTTGGAAAGTCGCTCAAGTCATCCCAATCCTCAAAAAGGACAAAAACAGCGAAGACCCCTCCAGCTACCGCCCTATCAGCCTGACACCGTCACCTCAGCAAAATATATAAAATCGTGATCAACAATCTCATTACTCGCCACTGCAACCAGAATAAAATCATTCCAGACAATCAATTTGGTTTCCGTGACCGACATTCGGTGCCACGCTGATTGACCTGGAGAAGGCCTTTGACTCGGTCTGGCTTGATGGCCTGATTTATATCCTTATCAAGAAGAAATTTCCACCTAACTTGGTGAAACTTGTCTGGAACATGGTGAGGAAGCGCTCGTTCTGCACAAAAGATGGAGACAACACCTCAAACAAGCGCTTCCAAATACGTGAAGGACTTCAGCAAGACACGGTGAACTCCCCATGTCTGTTCTCCATATCTACGAGTGATATCCTCAACAGTTTTGGTTTGAATGGCACCCCGGGGACCAACTCCATTGCCTATGCCGATGACCTTATTGTCTACGTGACAGGGAAGAATGTGAAAAACATCCAGCCCACACTCCAAATCCTAGTTAATAAAATTAATAATTACTACTCAACATGGAATCTCCGCATGAGGCTTCTGAAGTGCGAGAACATCCTGATTCGTGGACCAGTGCAAGAAGTTATAAGGTACAACAAACCTGGCATCAACTCTCTAAAAATCACGACCTTCAAACGTGACACCAGGGAAGAAGTAGTAATCCCGACCAAACAAACGGTCAGATACCTGGGAGTATACATCGACCACCTGGCTCGCTGCTCCAAGCACATCGACACTCAGCTCAAGAAAGCAACATCCAGGTTCCACTCGCTAAGACGCCTTTTCTACAATCGGCAGATATCCCACCGTGCCCGGATTATATGTTATCTCCTGCTGGTGCGGCTTCTACTCACGTACGCCTGCTCAGTATGGTGGAACATGTCAGCATCTATGACCAAGAAGTTGAGGTTACTGGAAGGAATCTGTATTCGAGCAGCACTGAGAATCTACAGATCTGCACACTCCAACTTTCGGCACATGGTCAGCAACCAAACCCTATACAATGAAGCCAACATCCCCAGAGTGGACAACTTCATTATCAGACTGACAGGGGACTACCATTCTCAGTTACGACGCATAAAAAACGAGACAATCGTCAAACTCAGCCACATTGACCTAATCGAAACCAACTTGGCAGCCCAAACAGGATACCTGCAGCCACAAGCAGTGATTCACCTCAACAGACTTGGGCTGATCCAAGATGCTAACAACGTCCCAAGGCTGTATCGCCTCCCCAGACACCCTGCTAATAAAAAAATCCCATTGATTGATGCCCCCCATCATTTTTTGTTTCTCTTCATCTATCCCATAGAACGAAAAACAGATTTCTAACTTTGTTCTTCCAAGTCCAACGAAACTTTAAAAAAAAATCTAAATAGCATGAAAAGTATTGTCCCAAAACATAGAAAAAGCAGATTTCCATGGAGGTAATATATAACAAGAGTCGTCCAATGGGCCCCCATACACCGAAGGCTTTCCAAACTCACTGATGTCTTGTCACTACTTTTTGTCGTTCTCGGACCAGAGTTGAGACACCTCTTATCATTGAAGTTGTCAATGTTTGAATCGCTGTAGCAAACAAGCTAAGAAAATGGTTGTAAAGTGTTGAAACAAAAGTGTATCATTTTTTGAGACGTTTTTTTCACAATCTTTCCAATATTAGTGCATGAAGCACGTGCTCAAGCTTTACACTGTGTAAACACATGCGTATACATATATTTTAACTTCAGCAATAGAATCCAAATTTGAATTAATGAGGACTCTCTGGAAAATTTATTATGAAACCTTTGTGGAAAGTGTAATTACCTGGGAAAAGAAATTGATTTAATATTTTATTTCGGAATCAGTGATTTCTGAAATAATCACCTAATGTAATTACCGGTGGAAGGAGTTATTTTTTATTATAGAATTATTCTACTACTCATTGATTATTCAACAATCTTTGACTTTAAACAAAGATTGAGGAAAAGTGGTGCAAAATGGAGCGTTTTCAATTGCTAATATCTCAAGATCGGCGTGGTCAAATTGAGCGAAGTCAGCAGCATTTTTCAGCCCTTTTGTGACATTTTCATTAAATTCACATTTTCACATTTTCTTTAAACCCTGTTCTTTCCCAAGGCAACCACAGAATTATTTCCACATTCACGCTGATTATAAATACGCTAGTTAAAAATATGTCAATGTTCGATATTCAACTTTTTTAACATCCAAATTTATTAATTATCAAAATTGAAAAACTTCACAACAGTTGAAGAAAAACTTATTGAGGGGTGAAAAATACAGTTTCCTCCCTTTCAGAGAAATATGGAACATGGTTTTTTTTCCTCATTGTGTGATTTTTATTTGATGGGAATGCGAATCAATTGTCCTTGACCTCGTTATTATCACTAATAAATTTATAAACACTGAACATACTGAAAAAATGCAAGAGCATTCTCTTCGTCTTTAAAAAAATACATTTTTTGATTCAACACTTTTTTCTCTAACTTGATGCTCCGATTGTTAGGACCATTGGCAATTTCAAATGTCTAATAACAATGAAAATGATTAAATGACACTTAATATTGATATTGCACATATACGTTGATGTCAAAATATAAAGAAAAACGAAGATTTTGTTTACCATTTATGAATTCTCAGGAGGAGCTGATGCGAGAGATCGCCATTTGGAGGTTATATTTACTATTTACGCTCCATCCTTCATTGAACGAATGATTTATACACTGTTTGATCAAGAGGAGAACGTTTGAACAATTAGTTTATAACTTGAGACGGTTATTACGGATTTATTACTGCTCGGAGTGAAAAAACAACAAATATTTATGTATAACAACATGGGAATAATGAACTTCAGGGCTGGAGAATTGTCCACTGGTGCTCAATCAGCTGACGATGCACAGTGGTGCGCAGTTTCATATTTCTCTCATGGAAACCAATTTTTTCTTCGTGGAATGTTCTTTGAACAACGAAGTACTTTGTAGAGACAATCACTCCCCCCTCCCCCATGATCTATAATCAATTTGGGATTTTTCCTATCCATAAAACTCTGAAAAACCACCCCCAAAGTGAACGATTCTGGCCATGAAAACTCTGAATTCATTTTGAAAAATAAAAAAATGATCAAGAACAATTTTTTCAATTAATCACTATTGTAGAAGCTATCCCTCCCCCCTTCTCCATGATCTATAATTACTTATGTAAAGACTATCACTCTCTCCTCCTCCATCTTCTATAATTGATTTGGGATTTTCCCTATGCATAAAACTCTGGAAAACCACCCCTAAAGTGGATGATTCTGGCCATGAAAACTCTGAAGTAATTTAAAAAAATAGAAAAATCATCAATAGCAATCTTTTCAACAAATTGTTTTCGTAAAGGCTATTCCTACCCCCTCCCCCATGATCTATAATTAATTTGGGATTTTTTCCCATACATAAAACTTCGGAAAAATACCCCCAAAGTGGACGGTTCTGACCATAAAAACTCTGAATTTATTTTAAAGATTAAAAAATGATTAAGAACAATTTTTTCAACGAATAACTTTTGTACAAACTATCACTGCCCCCTCCCCCATGATCCATAATCAATTTGGGATTGTTTCTATCCATAAAACTCTGAAAAACCACCCCCAAAGTGGACGATTCTGGCCATGAAAACTCTGAAGAAATTTTAAAAAATAGAAAAATCATCAAGAGCAATCTTTTCAAGAAATTGCTTTCGTAAAGGCTATTCCTACCCCCTCCCCCATGATTTATAATCAATTTGGGATTTTCCGATCCATAAAACTCTGAAAAACCACCCCCAAAGTGGACGATTCTGGCCATGAAAACTCTGAAATAATTTTAAAAAATAGAAAAATCATCAAGAGCAATCTTTTCAAGAAATTGCTTTCGTAAAGGCTATTCCTACCCCCTCCCCCATGATCTATAATCAATTTGGGATTTTTCCGATCCATAAAACTCTGAAAAACCACCCCCAAAGTGGACGATTCTGGCCATGAAAACTCTGAAATAATTTTAAAAAATAGAAAAATCATCAAGAGCAATCTTTTCAAGAAATTGCTTTCGTAAAGGCTATTCCTACCCCCTCCCCCATGATCTATAATCAATTTGGGATTTTTTCCCATACATAAAACTTCGGAAAAATACCCCCAAAGTGGACGGTTCTGACCATAGAAACTCTGAATTCATTTTTAAAGATTAAAAAATGATTAAGAACAATTTTTTCAACGAATTACTTTTGTACAAACTATCACTCCCCCCTCCCTCATGATCCATAATCAATTTGGGATTTTTCCGATCCATAAAACTCTGAAAAACCACCCCCAAAGTGGACGATTCTGGCCATGAAAACTCTGAAATAATTTTAAAAAATAGAAAAATCATCAAGAGCAATCTTTTCAAGAAATTGCTTTCGTAAAGGCTATTCCTACCCCCTCCCCCATGATCTATAATCAATTTGGGATTTTCTCCCATACATAAAACTTCGGAAAAATACCCCCAAAGTGGACGGTTCTGACTATAAAAACTCTGAATTCATTTTTAAAGATTAAAAAATGATTAAGAACAATTTTTTCAACGAATTACTTTTGTACAAACTATCACTCCCCCCTCCCCCATGATCTATAATCAATTTGGGATTTTTCCTGTCCATAAAACTCTGAAAAACCACCCCCAAAGTGGACGATTTTAGCCATGAAAACTCTGAATTCATTTTAAAAAATGAAAAAAATGATCAAGAACAATTTTTTCAATGAATGACTATTGTAGAAACTATCCCTCCCCCCTCCCCCATGATCTATAATCAATGTGGGATTGTTTCTATCCATAAAACTCTGAAAAACCACCCCTAAAGTGGACGATTCTGGCCATGTTTACTGTAAAGTAATTTTAAAAAATAGAAAAATGATTGAAAACAATGTTTTTCAAGGAATTATTCATGTAAAAACTATCACTCCCCCTCCCCCATCTTCTACAATTAAATTGGCATTTTTTTTCATTAAAAAAAACAATATAGATATGAAAATTCTAATTTTGTTTAAATGAGTGAACAGTGCGTCTCTTTCCCACGCAAGAACTCGTATGACGTTGTCTCTGTCGCTCCTACAGCGAAGAGACCGAGAGTAAATGCGCGGGTTATTTCAACAAAAAAAAAATATATAATTTTTTTTGTATAGTTCTCGAACGCACAACATTTTTCATAACTATACGTAAACAAAAAAATCGGTATTATCATCAAAAATATTTTTTTTAAAGAAATTTGTCAAAATTCAATGTTTTTGGCACATGAATTGATAAAAATCATTGTAAAAAATTCACAAAAATTTTAAGATAATGAGAATTATCTGCATTTCAAAACAAAAAAGTAAAAATAGAAAAATATCTATTTTTGGCTGATTTACAGCCATTTGTTCATGACGCAACGCGCGCGCAGCAGCGCGCTCCAACCAACAATTGTTAATATCTAGCAAACTATTGGTCGTAGAAACATAAGTAAAAAACCATTTTGTTCATCGTTAAATTCTCTAAATAACTTATGCTATATGTCTCGATAACTTCTCAATAGTTTCCGAGATATTTCAATCAAAAGATACCTATTCAAGGGGTATTTTGTTTATAAACAAAAAGCACACCTTGCCTTTAGGCCACATTTCATTTATATGCTCTCGACGAAGTCGACGACAAACACGATTTTTCACGTCCACCGACNGACGAAGTCGACGACAAACACGATTTTTCACGTCCACCGACTGGACTATTACCACGACCGCTAGATCGACGATTTTCGTGTGTTTATGCGGCACTCGACTCCCGATTCCCTCTCACAAATCGAAACAAAGAATGGAATTCACCATGGCGTCGGAATGGAACGCATGCGCGTGCGCAGACCTGCTCTCCCGCGTTTGCGCATCTTCACGGAGTCAGTCTGACTATTCGAATCTCCAAAAAGATGAAAAGTGAGGTGAAGTATACTGGCGACAATATGAGAGTGATCTTTCCATCTAACCCCTACT